CCAAGTTATTATGGAGTTAACTAACTTGTTATGGAGATAAAATACTCACGAATATTTTTTCATCATATTTAACGACGTGACTTAAGTCCATTATTGAAAATCCATCGCCAATCTGTTGATTTTTTGTAGCCGAAACCCACATCTCAATAACGGTTGTAATTCGTTCACTATTTCATTGCTATTTAATGACAAATTGAAATTTATACTAATATCCATCACTATTTGATAGTGGCTTTTTTTTTTTTTTTATGGTGTTAGATCCTCACTTGTTCTTATCTTTTCCAAATTTGATATATTTTTTTGGTCTCCACTTTTATTCTTGAAAGAGACACTTGAAAGATAGTCTTTTTAATTCCCTCCACGCTTAAAAGTCATTAACGAGTCACATGTTTTGATCCGGCTTCCATTTGATAAGTTAGATGCAACTCTCGACCAAGAAGGTCACTTTAAGAGTTGGTTATGTGATTTAAACCTCTCTCTCTCTCTCTCTCTACACATACACACACACACACATACACACATATCCATGTCTTATTGTTTTTGGTTAGCCAATCATTTCTTTATCATAAATCTTTGATTATTATTTGTTTTCAATTATGAACACATCATTCTCATAAGAATACTCAAATTTTCATAGTACCAAAAAGACTTAGTGCTTTATTGTTGTATTTTGGTGAGCTTAAATTGTTTTTTCATTAAATGAGGATATTTGTTAAAGTGTAAGTGGCACTTCAATCAATTGGTTTAAATGGTAGTGGGTTGTTGTGAGAGTTTGAGAGTCGAAGGTTTTCTAATCTTTCAATCGAAAAAGGTTTAGTGTCAAGGTGAAGCCTTACTCGGAAAAGGTCGTAAGATAGTAAAAATATTCAAAATTAATGTTCGAGGAGTGCACTACACATTTAGGTCAAACCATTATAAATCTTGGTGTGATCTCTTTTTACTTTGACCATATCTATTTGGAGGTCTGTGTGTTTAATTTGATTCTAATCGGTTTCATTATAAGCTTAATTAAAATGTCAAAGTTAACCTTTTTCCTTCTTTCGAATTCGTCTTAAAAGAAAACTCCAAATCAATCTTAAGCTAGCTAATTAATCAAAAAATGATTTTTAAAATAAAAAATTCATCAATCATTAATTTGATTTCATACGAAGTTTTCTTTAAGATTTTTTTTCTTTTTTAGGTAGCATTGGAAGTCGACAATCATTTCGGAGTTTCAAGGTAATGTTGATAATTACATTTAGGATAAATAGCTTAATTTGTCTTTATATAATAGTCCGAATTTTTAATAGATTCTTACATTTTTAATTACATGTATTATAGTTTTGAATAATGTTTAAGTCTTCAATTTGTCTTTCTAATAAAAGTTTTTGACCATTAACAATTTTTTTTGATCAAAATGCTCCTTGTTGAAAAGTAAAAAAAATTTAATACTTAAAAAATAAAACATACGGGTCATGTGACTTCAAATGATTTTTTTTCTTTGTTTTTTTTTTCTTGCATCTTATTTAGAGGTATTTTGATCAAAAAGACATGTTGAGAATTTAAATATTATTTAGAAACATTATCAATACGATTAGAAACATAAAAACACATTAGAAACTTAGACTATTATACAAGATCGATTTAACTATTTACTTTTAAATCTATTTATTTCGATATATTTATTTCTACATATGTCATATTTTCTATTGTAAAAATTATTAGTGTCAAAATTAAACTTTTTCAATGCATCACAAGCTACGAAAAGGAGTTATACATGTGGCGATAAACAAAGGGCGAAAAGAAAACAATTTGTTCATTTGTGGTTCAATAATAAGACATGCTTCTATTTTACTATATAAAATAGGTAGATTTTCGTTTTCCTATATAAAATAGATAGATTTTGCATTGAGATTACATTAATTTATGGTCGGTTGAATGATTGGCTAAATAATTTGAGAAATTCCATTTTTTTTCCAATTGGCTATAATCATTCCGATTAATAATCATGCTTTGGGTCTTAGATTCAAGTCGAGCCAACGCAAAATTATCCAATGAGCATGGTTATCTTAAATTTTGTAGTTATATATATATATATATATATGTGTGTGTGTGTGTGTGTGTGTGTGTGTGTGTGTGTGTGTGGGATTTTATACCAAGTAACTATAAGAAAAATTATTTCATAGAGGTCTGGTTAATAATAATTAAGTAAATTGATTGTCATATGAGTGGAAAATTTATTAACGAACTTAAAATGAAGAGTTCATGTTTATATATGTGGAATCATCAATCAGTCGTACTAGTTTCGTTTCAATTAATAATGGCAACAACCAACAACTCGGGTTACACATACGTCCGGGATTTATCCGATACCCGGTATATCTAAAGGATAAGGCCGAGTTCCTCATCATCAATAAAATAAAGAGCATAAGGCACTAGTTATGTGTACGGATGATCATCTATATTTTCGAAAAGCATTAATGAGCATATTTGGTAATAAGTTTGGAAGTAATTTTTTCAAAATGTTTTTAGACTCGTAAAGCATCAATAAACCTAAAACAATGGCATGCCAAAGACATTCTAGTGCTCATCTTTCTAAACTTAGCAACGAGCTAATATGGATTATACACGTAAAGTTGGCATACATAATGAAATACATATTATCACTATATGGATTTTGATATCATGATAAAGAACTAATTAATTATGTGATCCAAAATATTGAACTCTATTACTAGCACAATGTATTGTGCAACACTACCTACAATTTAGACAATATTCCTTCCATTGTAGTCCTCAAATTAAAATAAAGATCTCAATATTAAAATTATAATTTGATGAGTCTTGGATTGATTCATTTAATAAAATTAAAAAAAATATGACTCACGTAAATAATAATGAGGGTTTGATGATCATTGAGAATGGTGTATGATTCATTTAAGTTGGATACCCGTAAAACAAGTCCTTTTGATTTCGCAAAGGATCCTCATATGATTAAGTTAATGGTCAAAAAATAATAACTTGATCTAAAAAGACTTTTTTGGAGAGAGTATTTAATTGTATGTGAAAAGTTTTGTAGATGAAAGGGGAATTATGCCGAAATTAGAACATGTATTGTAGAAATTAGAGTAAGAAACTAGAACTTATTTGCTTTAATGGTTTGAGCTTTTATATAAGCAATTGTGAGTACAATTTACATTATAAAAAGAATATGATTTTTTTTATTTGACGTTAGTAGTTGATTTGACAAGTAATGATGTTATGCTATTGTTATATTTAATTTAAGACGATGTTAGTATTTATCACGATGAATATAAATTTGAATGATATTACTAATGAACAAAATTTTATTAAATATTTTTTTTCCTCTTATTATGACAAGTGGAGGAGAGTGATGTCTTTCTCTTTCTAGTCCGGTCACCTAGGATGGGAAGGTTCTTAAACTTTTTCTAAAAGGCAGCTCGCTTTGTTGAGGGTAGCTATCCATTTAGGACTTTAGGCCCATCTCACCGATTCGTGCCTTTTGATGAGACACATGGGTGATTTGCTAGCGACATAAGTGATCCGGTAAACTATGGATGGGACTAAATAAGCAATTAAAATGTATCCTCATTAAATACATGCCATTCTAGTTTCTTCGAAAGTCGTTTTTATTCACTCGTCTTTGCCTTTAGGCCCAATCCGAGATAACTAAAGTGGTTCTCATGAGGGAAGTACTTAATTACCGGTGTGTCTTTTGTTTGGACCTATTTTTTCCTAAGGCATGCCCGTTGTCTCCCCGAGTCTTTATCTTTTTTCAAAGACAAAGACTAGTTTTTTGATGGATTCGATCCTCATCTCGCTATTGTTGTATTCCAACTCGATAATGGTGAAGTCATTATTGGTTCGAGTGGTTGGACATTGTGCCATTTTGGAAAAGCTTTCTAGCTAGCGCATGAAAAAAATGAGACAATGTTATTTATTGGTGTCTTTTAAATTTTAAAAAGGATCATACCACCAATGTTATTTATTTACTTTTACCTTGTGATTTGAGTTTTGATTGGCCTATATAAATTTGGGCTCTTCTTCCATATGCCATTTCTTTGTTCTATATTCCCACCTTTTCCTTTTCTCATTTAGGTGATCTTCATCAAGAGAGTGCTTTCGAGGTTTTTATGTTGATCTCTATCTAATAGGAGAATTTTGGCACCCCTAACTAGTGATAAGATTGATGCCTAGTCTTTTTTGATATAAAAATAGGCATCGTGACATCCATGCCCTAGTGTATATGATTTTTTATGGGTGCACATTTTCTTTTCTATGTTTTTTGAAAGTTATGTTTGGCGTTACAATCTTGCATCAGCCAACTCCATCCTAATAGATGGCCAATCCATTCGGCTTTTTTCGATTGTGTGAACTTTGTGAGGTCAACCATACTTTAAGGCTTTTTAAGGCTTGTTTCGTCATGTTTGAGAGTATTGGAGGCAAACATGGAGACCATGCACTAGTTCTATACTTTTGCAAAACAAAATAGGAGTCCTATAGAGGACTTGTTGATTAGAACTAAGGACCGCATCAAGGATTCTCGTGGTGAATCATTTACAAGTACGTTATATTAGACCTTTGGTGTAAGACAAGATCGAAGATGTATGGAGGTGTCCCTCTTTTAGTTAGCTCCTGTCGATAATTACAACTATTATGTTACTTCTACACTAATAGAGAAGATCTTTAAAATTCTAAAGGGAGATGAAAAGCCACTTAGGATCGATGTTTTGACAAGAAGAGTGATCGTGGGCTTGAGCCTTAAAGGCATCTAATTTTTGCTTTGGCTTTCATTTTTTTATTGTTCTTCACTCATTGTCTCTGGTTAATTTTATTCCTTTTATAAATGTTTCTTTCTCAACAATTACCGAAGATCCCATTACAGAGGATAAGGATTCGGTCATTTTGAAGAAGATAAGAGGAGAAGAGAGTCCCGGGTCAAAAAAGAGAGCAAAAGAAGTGCCATCATTTTCTCCCGCTCCTACAGTTGAGGTGGAAGAATGGATAGGTTAAAGGTTCATCCTTGAAGATGAGTGCCCCCTCCATTAAAAGAAAGAAGGTCATTCTAGCTAATAGGGCCTTTTCTTTCAGGAACCTAGATGGGAAGAAGGTCGCTAAAGCTCGTTCGAAGTCTAATTTTCTATTTGGGGTTACCATTCCTCTATCTCATAGTTAAAAAGAGTTGTAGGATAATTTTCTCAATAATGATTCCAATTTTCAAGATTCTAATGGAATAAAAGCAATTAGGCTCTTTGGGCACTTGACTCAAGTGTTAGGGGAAGTAGGTAATTGGAAAAAAATTTCCTTAATAACCACATCAAGTCGGTTAGTATATAGTTATTGAGGTGAGATGTTTATAGAGCCTCTACTTGCTCTTTTTTTGGATGGTGAATAATTTACATTTTCCTTTTATTTGTTTATATTCTCTTTCTTTCCCTTTTTTTAGGCACTCGAATTTGTAAACCCATATGTATGCCGGGTGGTAGGCGGAACAAAATAAGTCGAAGAGATTACATCGCCTAATTGATCGCTTACATGAGAACTTAGATAAGCACTCTTTAGAGGTAGGTGATACTCACTCAAAGTTGGAAACCAACCTCGAAAGATTTAGAGACCTTATTGAAAAAAGCACTAGAGATGAGGGAAACGACTATATATGACTTAGAGCGGTCACTAGAGCAAGAGATGAGAATGGTGAAGGAACTAGAGAGAACCCCGGAAGTTTGAGATATGATTATACCCATCCTTCAAAGATAAGGAGTGGAAAGCATTTCGAGTCGAGGTGACGTGCCTTAAAGAGATTGGGAACAACCCGAAAGATTTTACTACCATGTTTTGGGAAATTGTAGACTTATAAAATGCTTTGATAGAGCATGCAGTAGATACCCTAGTTGACTCTTACTTCTTCAACAAGTCCAAGGGTATTAATGGGAATGTTTTTAAGTCTTTTTAAGGGAGTAGCATTCTTGACTTTGACCTCGCTATTTCCTTAGCACTATGTTCGTCGCCTTCAAAGGAGTGTACTTCGATGTGGAGCCTAAAGTAGAAGTCCCTCTTTTTTCTTCAAGTATGCCTTTTCGTGGTGCACCTTTTGTTTTGAAGTCCGTAGAATCGCCTAGTGGTACCTCTAAGGCCCAAAGGAGTTTGGAGAGGGATTTGGAGCAAGTTGAGAATTTGTAAAGTTTCTCTATTTCTTGGTTCTATTTTGTTGTAATGATTTGCTTTGGGCTTAGTTTTTTTTTTCTTTTAATATTATTTTTTATGTATTTGGAGTTACTATTTTTTTAAGGGTTTAAAATCCGTGTAGGACGTTAAGTGGGTGATAGAAAAAATAATTATTTTTCTTAATAAGATATAAAGATAATTATTTTTCTTAATAAGATATGGCACCTTACCTATTTAGAAGAAATTATTTGTTTGTCCACTCAATGACACATGTATTTTTGGAGGTTTTTTAAGGTTAGGTCGTCCGTCCCTAAATGATCTCTTTTCATATGATTTGGCTATTCGTCCTTCTGTGGGTATGACTATGAACGTTTTCTATGGTTATTTGTCCCTAGGGAGGTGCAGCCATGATTTTTATAAGGATATAGTCATTTATCCTTAAAGAGATATAGCCATGGATTCTACTCTTAAGTTTTAGCCATCCAACCCTATAAGGTGTTGTTTGGTAATCAAGAATAGAGTGATGAGAATAAGAATGAAAGTTTTATTCTCATGTTGTAGTTGTTTGGTTAAAAGGAATGAAGTGGGAATGAGAATGAAGAGTGAGAATTGAAATAAATATTTACACACAACTTCATTCCCACATAAGATGTAGGAATAAAAATAATGAATGAGAATGATTTTTTTTCTTTAAAATAATAATATATTTTATTTATTTATTATTTATTAACTACTTTTATCATCACCACCTCTATCGCAACCACCACCACTACTATAACCACTATTACCACTACAACCACCATTACCATTAGAACCACCGTTGCCATAACCACCATCACAACCACCACTAAAACTATCGTTGTCATAATTACAACACAATCACCACCATCACTACCTCCACCGCAACCAAGCACCACTACCATAAACACCGTCAACACCGCAACCATCACTATCACCACTAGAACCATCGTCGCCATAACCACCATCACAATAACCACCACCACCACCACAATCACCTTTATTTTTTTTACAACCATTATAGTTTGATAAAATTATTTTTTAATCATTATTTTTATTTATATAAAAAACCGGATATTAAAAAATTTAAATTGCATTTTGATTCCTCATTAGTATTTCAAACATAGTATAGGAATACAAATGTCATTCTAATTCCTTAATTTTTATTCCGATTCTTGCATTCTAATTCTAAAACTTGCATTCTAATTCTAAAACTTTCATTCCAAAAAATTTAAATTTCATTCCCGATAATCAAACGACACTTAAAGGTAATAGCCGTGGTTTTTGAGTTTTTTTTTCATAATAAGGTATTGTTAAATCTTATTTCTTATAATAGAGTAGTTTTAAACTTATTTTCCATAATAAGGTACTCTATGCCAAATTTGAAGTATTTTCTTAAAATAAGGTATTTTTAAATTTTATTTATAAAAATAAGGTTATTTTAAGCTTATTTGACAAAATAAGATAACTTTTACCATGTGGATCAAAACACTTACGTGTGTCAGCTTTTTTTAATGTTAAATTCATTAATAATTTTATAAAAATTTTAGAAACTAATATCATTTATAATACACCCATTTTATTAATTATGATGACCACATAAAATCAAATTCTAATAGAACCACCCCTCCAATTCATTACCAAGATCCGAAACACTAGCTTTTAAAAATATTTCGCCATAACCAAGATAGGCATTGATACCACGGATCCCGATGATAAACAACAACTTAGCTTCGGGTTGACATAGAAACCTCCATTGAGTCTAGCTTCACGCTTAAGCCTAATAAGCTCTTTTTGCTCTCATCATACTACTTGGCATATCGCTTAGCCCCGTTGAAAATCAACTTGCGATTTTCAACATTCTCTTTCTTTAGAGCTAGCTTTTTTCCTTCTTAACCAAAACCCATTCCTCATTCTTTTTTGCTTTTTCAACACAGATTATGGCACCGGTACCTTAACTTCTTCCCCATCCATCTTTCTTTGTTGTTCGGCTTCCCGGTGGTGACTATGATTTGCAAAGAGATAAGTGAAGGTGTTTTCGTGGCTCGAAATAGATTTTTGGTTTCTTAACCCTCAATAAACAACTATAAATTTGGTAAGAAACGGTTTTGTTTTGGGTTTTGTCAAGTTTTAAGATTTTGAATGTGGGTTTGTCGACTTCAACTTCATTTCTTTGGTGATTTTATTGTTGAGCCATTGTAATTTTTACAGAGTGTTTCTAGATCTTGTTGATGAGTCATTGGGATTGGATTTAATAGCATTTGATTTTATTTGGTAATATAACTAATAAAATGGGTGTATTAAAAATAATATTTATTTTTAAAATTTTGTAAAATTATTAGTAAATTTGGCATTAAAAAAAAATTGACATGTGTAGGTAATTTGATTTACATGGCAAAAAACTACCTTATTTTAGTAAATAAGGTTAAAACAACCTTATTTTTATAAATAAGATTTAAAAGTATCTTGTTTAAAAAAAAAACTTCGTGGTTTTTCCCTTGTTAGTAGTCCGACTTGTTGTCCATGGTAGTAATAGGGCATGATTGTAATCTTTGGAGGCATATGCATAGGCAAATATATCGATCCATGTAGTAAGTATTTTATAGCAAAAAAAAAAAAAAAAACTTTTACATCATCATGGTTGACTACGTATGTAAGACCTTGACTTTAGGGCCATTGTAAAAGTTGATCTTGACATAGTTTACCTAGCTGGTTTTACCGGACAGGTGACAATTCTTTTCGAAGTAGGGAACTTCGGCGATAAGTATCTTATGCAAGTCAATGCTTTTATTTCATGCAACAAGGTCTCTCAAAGATCACATTCTATGCCAAGCTCGATGGTTAGAAAACTCATGAACAAGATGTTTGAACCCCGTAAAAGCCAAACTAGATTCAAGAAGGATATAGACGCTACACTCCAAAATAGTTAGAAGAAGAGTGATATGTCGCTTGAAAACCATAAGAATCAATTAGATTCTTGATAAGTTTCGAATTAGTTTCGGAAGAACTTAGGAGTGAATTTCTCATAAAATATTTGTTTTATTCAAAAGTTGTATATGCGAAAATTACATAATTTTTTTACCTAAATAGGATGGTGAAAAATTCAGAATAACAAAAAATTAATGTCTACCTAAGTCTAGCAAAACACCATAATGGAACATTAATTAAATATTAAATAAGTCTTTCTTGAAGTTGGCAACAACACTTTGAACCCAACGAACCATAAATAAGGTCCAATACTTGATGCAAATTTGATTTGAAAGTTGAAGCAAAATTTGACTTTGAAATAGATTAATTTGTTAGCATTAGCACCTTTTAAGATATCCCTCGACTATCAATCTCTCAATTTCTTTTTTCAAGAAGTAGCATGTTTGGGTGTTATGTTTATGATCTTGGTGGTAGAGATAATATTTTTTTATTACTTACGTGAGAAGGATCTTTCATCGGTAGTAAGTGATTTATAAATGTTTTTCCCTAGATTGCTACGAACACTTCTATTTGGTCGCATTCAAGCAAGTACTAAAAACACAAGGCGATTGTAAATGGGTTTCTTTGGGGTTTTTTTTTTTTTTTTTTTTTTGAGTCAATGCAAGCAGATGGTTACTTTTTTTCTTAACTCGTTGAGAGGCCTTTGAAATCGAGATTCATCTCTCTAGAGCTACCGCTTTCTCTATCCTAATGTAACTTTCATCTAGTTTCTTTGCATGGCACAAGTTTTAATGGAGAAGGAAATAAATCTTCTTTTACAAATTGGGCTTGTTAACCCTTTTGATCAAGCCCTTCGTTTAGGGATGACAATCCGACCTACCACGACGGGGCCCCACCCTACCCTATTTGTGAGGTAGATGGTATGCGAAATACGCTCCGAATGGGGCACGGGGCGGGGACAATGATGACCATCCCCGCCTTGCGCCGCCCAACCTCGCCTCGCCTTTTTGCCTTTAAAAATAGCAATCCGACGAGGTTCCATTCCGCTCCCGTCTCGTTTGGGGCGAAGATGGTACGCAAAACATGTCCCGAACGGGGCACGGGGCGGGAATGAAGGTAGCCATCCCCGCCCTTCCATTGCCATCCCTACCTCTCGTTGGTATGGTTTTCAACAAATCATTTAAAATAAATAAATTAATTAAAGCACACATGAATATATTAGAGATAACCTTTAAAATACAATCACGATTTTAAATGACGTAAGAAGTAAGAAAATTTAGATAAAAGATTCTTTTTTCTGGTCATTAACATCTTTCATCTGGTATGTGAGTTTCATTTTCATCATACTTGAAAATTATTTGTCCATGCCATAATCAATAAACAAAGCAATTGGATGATAGTCAACTATTAACTCCTTAATTGAGCTAATTTTACAAACATAAATTATTATAGAACTTTTATATATATATATATATACCAAAAGTCATTAAACTTATGAAATTATCATTTAGAAATAATGAGAAATTTTGAATAATTGAGAAAAATAATGAAAAAAGCCAAATAAATTAGTTTTCGCTGAATGCAATTCAAGTTTATGTTTCTATTGATTGCACCGACTGGCTAACAAAATATGGGGCCCTACGAGATTATAATCTAGCAAACTAATGATTAATACTTAGATTTAATATAGAAAACTATAATTGTTATATCCTATCATATTTTAACAGCAATCGCAATCGCTCTCCTCCCATTATAATATTGTCTTATTCTAGAGTTTAGGATTTAGACCCAAAAAAGCAATGAACTGTTGCAGCATTACCGTGCCCTGCCTTACTGCTGGGTCTTCTCTCGCTCGTCTCGTTCACCTATATTCACCACGTACAGTAGTGTTTATTTTTTTTAATGTCTACTTTTTTAATTTCAAGAAAATATAATGTAATGGAATGGAATAGTTAACTACATTTCTTTGTTTGGTTGTAAGACTTTTATAAGGACAAGTAATGTAATAGAAGCATCTATAGAGTTTTGTTCTAGTCTCTGTAATTTTTTAAAAATGATTTAATCCCTATATTTTATTTTTATATTCAAATCGATCCTTATTTGAAAGGTTTTTTGGGCCTTATAATTATAAAATTTACAATTCAGTCATTCTAATGATTTTTTTTTTCCATCTCTACATGATTACGTTTCATCATATAATAGTTCATTACATAGCTTTTTTATGTAATATTTATAATGTCATGAGTCATTATAATTGTAACGGTCCATCATAGTACAATTTTAAAAATTATACAATCAAATATAAGAATGTATAATTCATTATATCCAACCCTTGCCAAGTTGTTGGACGAATATCCATTTTTCTTTCCTAGTACGGATATTTATTTTTTTTGCTAAAAATCTTACAATAAGAATAACAATAATAATTAGGTCAAGCTAACATGGTGATATCATTTAGATAATATTACGATATTCAATTGAAGTTCTATTAATTAATTAGTCCCATGTGCTTAGTTATCAACCCTATTTGGGACAATGAGAATTTCCTTCTTTGCTTGATTAATCCTATATATAATGCAATTTTTTTTTTTAACGCTACCTTCATCCAATCCAAACACTTAACATTTCTTAATTAATTTGGTGTACCCAACAAAATTACTTAGAGTTCCTTAACTTCCTATTATTTCCTTGTCCTAAAATTTAATTACTTTCAGAGTTGATTTGGGTAGGTTCGGAAGGTTCTTCTCATAAAACGAATCTGCAAAAGATAGTTTTTGGCTTGCTTGGAATGTGAGATGTTGATAACTTGGTGGAGCTGAATTATACAAAAAGTGGGCTAACCCCACTTGTTGTCGATTTCCAGCTAAGGTGATATATAGCTGTCTCAGGGTTGGCTTCAATCCAACAATACAAATTGATGTGGAAATTTGAAAGTTCGTCTCTGATAATTCTGAGTAGTTCTTTGAAATTATCAATCTAAGAGTTGTTAGGTAGCTGGGAGGATATAGATGAAATTTCGTAGTTTTGTACGTGTAAGTAGTTATTTGTTAAAATCCTAATAAAATTTTTAATACAATTATAAAATAAATATAATTATCGAACTAAGTAAATTTTATATTATATAATTATTTTTTTCTACTCTATCTTTTTTATTTGAGTTTTTCATAATAAAAATAAATTTAAATTTTATAAAAAAAAACATAAAACTCAAATTTTCATAATTTTAAGAGTTATCTCATTATTCTAAAATCAAAAGAGGTGAAATTCAAATCCAAGTTTCCTCATTTTTCTAAACAATATTGAGTATAATCGAGGACGAATGTAGGATATAATTAGACTAATGGTTTTTGTTTTTACCTTCTCTTATATTTAGAAATAAAATCTACACTATCTTATGTAAAAAATAAATTTATAAAAAAAGCTCTTAATTACATGGTCTAAATTTTGTAGAACAACGAATCTATGATCATAAATTCACAACTTTATCCCCAAGGCCTTCATTATGTTAGTTCATAATCGTTAAATATTTATAATAGTTAGATAATTTTGAATTTCAAAATTTTCTTCTAATATCATAAAAAAAAAACCCAATGGTTGGTTCGCATAAACTATCAGTTGATAGCGATTAGATTAAAATTTTGAATTTTGAAAGTCAAAATTCACTCATTATTGCAATATTATCTGCCACTAACTACTAATAATTAACTCTCCAATGAATGACCTAAGAACACACATAAGTTTTTCCCCTAGCAAGTAAAATGAGAATAAAATAATACTTAAGGGCTTTTTTTTTTTTCCTTTTAATTTTATGTGCATTTTAAGATTAATTTTTTTTTTGAATTACTTTCTGTTCATGAAAGCTAAGTCCCAACTTAAAATAAATCTAGATTACTACTAATATTTTATAAATCATCACAAATCAATACGCTTTTAGTCCAGCACTAGTAAGTTTCTTCCATTTATGAGAAATCACAAGTTTAATTTTTTTTTAATATTTAAACCTAAAAAAATTTATTACAAAAGAAAATTAGAATATCCTATGATCTCTGTAGTAGTAACCAATTCAATTTATTTTGATAATATTTTTTTTTTTGGTTTTATTAATTATTAACGCTAATATTTTTTTTATCGTAACCCTAGTTCTAGTTCTCTTGTGTCTAACAATAGAGTTAGGCGAGGAATCATCACGAAGCATGGGAAAGAGCCAAAATTTCATAAATGCATTTATCTTTGTCGCCTATAGAGAAGAAAATAAAGTGCTAACCACTTTAAATAAGTTATTTACTCATTCAGCGTATATATGTCCCAACTCCCAAGTAATCTCCATTGAATCTAGAAAGGACGAAAAGTACCTGCAACTGCAGTTCATGATTATCTAATTACTGAAAGATCCAACAAACCTCTCCAGAGGAAAAATTATACACCAGTTATATGATCTTTTTTATAGCAATTAAAAAAAAATACAACCATAAATATTTAAAACTAAATAAATTAATTTATAAACGTTTTTAATTAATCATAATTTTTATTAGCTTTGTCTCCATTTAAGTTCGATTTATTTAGTAAAATAATTTCTTCTAGTGTAGGTTTCAAGATTAAAACTAAACAAATTAAGAAAATAATAAACATTTTTAACCATCAGACTAATACTCTAAGGTTTTGATCAGAAAATTAAAAGCTAAAAAGATTTGCTTTTTAAATTATCATTCTATGCACAAAAGAGATCATGACAATCCAATGATAATAATAATAATAATAATTTTAATAAATAAAAATAGACTAGAGGAAACCTTAACCATTGAAAAAGGGAAGAGAACATAATCCATGTAATTGTTCACTCAAAATTATCATAATTCTATCAATTGTATCTAATGGAGATACAAATCATGGAAAATGAATAACATATTGATGATACCTTTACTCAACTCCAAATCACATGGCAAATAATGAAATGGCAATCCCCACATTTAGATGCCCATTATTTGTGGGGTCCTTCCTCCAGCCAATGATGCTTCCCCCTCCAATCACTTTTCCATGTGCAAAGCTTCATCATCTCTTGCTGTCACTCTTCTTACACGATCCTGTCCAGTTCAGCTTCGCCTAAGCATGTTCAAAGTGTGATAGCCACGTTCAACAGCATCACTATTCCTTTGCGCTTCCGTTTCACATCATTCTAGGCTAATATGATACCAAGATTTCATTCAAAGAAAGCAACCACTCTACACTAACACTACCATTCTTTTGCTTCAAGACTATGCATTCTTTTTGACTTATCTCTTTGTTTCTCTCAATGGACTCTTCAACTCTTCTTGACTATGCTCTCTTTCAACTCACCCCAACTCGAACCAGGTGCAATATCAATATCCCACTTCAGCCTCACTCTCTTCTCTCACAATTCTCTTAAAGTTGTCGTCTTTGGGGCTAAAAATCTTTTCTTTTTATTCATATGTTGTTGTTTTTGTGTGTGAAGGTGTGATCTGGTTCTCTTCTATGGAGGCAAGAATGAGAAACTGGCTTCTGGTTTATTTGAACCATTCATCTCACACCTTAAATTTATTAAAGATCAGATTTCCAAAGGTGGGTACTCCATCAAACTCTGCCCACCAACCAACAATGCTCCTTGGTTCACCAAAGGTACTTTTGAGAGGTAATGAATCTAACAGTTTACTCAGTTTTTTCTTATTGGGAAATTTAGATATTGGGCATTAATTCTATTGAGCAATTTGATTGAATTATTGGATATCATGGATTTTGTTTTTGAATTTGAACAAGGAGTGAAATTGGTTCATTTTGTCATAATCGTTTGCATATTTTTGTTTCCATGTGTGTAAACAGTGTGAATGGTTGTAGATTCTTCATTGAATAAATGGAACTGGAATTTGTTTTCTGTACAAATAGAGAATTAATCTTGAATTGTGCTCAAAGGTTTTAAATTTACTGCCATTTACAATGGGTTGTGATGCCATACAAATTCCCAAATCCTAATCTCTTGTTGATTTGCTGAACAAATAAGTTGCCTTGTCAGGATTTTGTTGGTCTCTGCCATTTCTTGGCCATGTTAAAAGTTAAAAGACAGACTGTAATTTGCTGTTGGCATTGAATTTAGCTTATGTGATTGTGTGTGAACCAGTTTTTATGTTTGTGTAAATTTGAAACTTTAGCAGTATTGAATCCAGGATATAATCAGAGAACTGAGGAGGTCAATTTGTTTTTCTGTTTTTGTAGGGGTGTGGACTAAAAGATAACTTATCTCTTTGATTGTGCAGATTTGTTCGATTTGTTAGCACACCAGCAGTACTTGAGAGATTTGTCAGTCTAGAAAGAGAAATCTTGCAGATTGAGGAGAGTTCAGTTCAAGCCAATGAATTGTCAAACACAAATGTAGCTCGACAACTGGAGGAAGGTATTATCATCAGGACCTAAATCATTATCGGCAATAGTTTTGACTGTTGGGATTGTTTTACTTTAATCAGTTGTGTAAAATGTACCGCTTCTAAAAATTGCAACTTTCTGTACTGAATAACTTTGTTTTATCAGGGAGTAGACCAGCTGCCAATGCTATCACAAGGAAGTCGAGTGATTCCTCTAAGGTATATCACTTTTCCATGAAATTTGTTTATTAATTGTGATGATTAGCTAGAAAATCATATTAATTCTTTAAATATCTTCACCGGTATTTGTTCCCAGCTAAAAGATGAACTCGAGAAAAGTGATCATGCTGTACCAGAAGAAAACTCCAAGTAATCCTTCTCATCTTTTTCAGCAAACTTGGTGTGTATGTATGTGCTGTCTTTCAGCGTTACTCATCAATCATCTGTTTTGATTTCCAGGATTCAATTTCAACGGCTTTTGGAAGCTCGAAAAACATTGCTTCGCAAAGAGCAAGCTATGGCTTATGCCCGTGGCCTTGTTGCTGGATTTGAAGTGGACAACATATATGATCTCATCTCCTTCGCAGATGCTTTTGGAGCTTCCCGGTTAAAGTATGACTTGGGACAAATTATAACTGTCCTTTATTGTTTTGCAACTAATTTTTTCTGACTGGAAAATTATGAAAAATAAATGCCAAAACCCTTTTCTTGGTCTCTGTGTTTTTGTTTTAATGAGTGGATTTGCATTAAAACAAAACTCTTTTCGGGATCCTGCTGAAGCGGCGATTTCTTCCTTGGCTTGGCGAAATATGTACATTCCACTGGAGTAATAAATTCCATTGCAGTTTTGTCTGATATCGATCCTGCAGCCTTGAAATCTAGTGTTGTTTATATGCAGGGAAGCATGCAACAATTTCAAGGAATTATGCAAGGAAAAGCATGGGGATGGTCTATGGATGGAGGAATTAGCAGCAATGGAGGCATGCCCTCCATCAGAGCTGTCATTTTTGGGAACATCAGGAATTGTACTTGCAAATGAAATTAGTGCCCTTAATCAGAATGTTATGCTAAATTTGACAAACAATGGGGTATCTACTGGTGATTTTGTGCCCAATGGATCTTCAGATGCATCAAGATCTGATTCAACCGCAGACAGCAAAAAGGGTATTGTATACTCTTTACTTGCTTACTCTCTCTTTATTATGCATTGCATTAAAGGAGAGTCTATGTTGGTCTGTTTATGGTTAGATTACTAGATTAGAACCAGGGCTACATTATGTTTTTCATACATTAGAGTTGTTTTCAATATTGTTGTTATCTCGCCCATTACTCGCAGAGTGATTTTTTCACAAAACGCAGGTCCTGCACTTTTTTCGCTAAAATGTAAAGCATTTTCTTGCTGTCTGAATATGGTAAAATTAGTACTGCTCCTTATATGGTTAATGCACTTCATGTATGATTTAGAAAGCACTACCAATGACACCCTGTTTTGATGCCAAAGCAACAAAAGATGAGTTCGACTGGTACTTACTAATTGTAAATTTTTGAAAAACTTAATCTTAGAATTATAAAGTTCAAATTAGCATGATCTGATTCCTTCTTTTTTTTTGTTGTTGTTGTTGTTTCTGATGAATTAGCATGATTGGATTCTTCCTTGCGCAGAAGTCAAAATGTCTCCATATTCCTTTTTATAAACAATTTGCTGTTCTCTAATGTAAAATACATTAATGTTCAGATGGTAGCATGGCAACATCTGACCAGATACCATCAACTGCTGCCAAAGTTCAAGCACCAATGCAGTGGCCAAACCAGATACCTCCATATATGTACAACTTCCAAGGCCCTATTCCACAATTTCCTCCATATCAAGGATATCCTTTCCCTACCATGCAGCCTATTCCTCCTCATTATCCAAGAAATATGCAGTGGCCTTCTAGCATGAAAGATTTTAGTCCAGCAAAAATGGATAAATCTAAGAACAAAAAGGGATATGGATATTTAGGAGAAGATAGACAAACAGAGTCGAATGACTCTGAGGTAAGGACTGATTCAGATTCCCATACAGATCAGGACGAAAAGCACTCTTATACGGATGTTCCATACAGGAAGAATCACAGGAAGAAATCCTCTAAGACTGTTGTCATCCGAAACATTAACTACATCACCCCCAAGAGAAGAAATGAAGGAAGTGGTAGTTTTTCTGATGAAACTTCTTCAGATGATGATGAGTTCATTGATGAAGATTCCATCAAACAGAATGTAGATGATGCAGTTGGATCATTGGAGAAATTGCGCAAGTCAAGTTCAAGTTCACATAGAAGAAAAGGTTCAAAGAAGAACAACCACAAGTCAAATGGATCAAGTGATGCTCTCGACCCAGATTTTGTTGATGCCCTTGTTTCAAATGCATCCAAGGGAGGAAGGAAAGATGAGAATTGGGATGCTTTCCAGAGCCTTCTGATGAAAGATGATGATGTAGTTGTTAATGTAGTAGAAAATTGGCAGCCAGTGGATGTTCGGGAAGAGCATTTCATAGTCAGTAGTGCTGGAGATGGAACTTCATTAGGGAATCCCGGTATGGACTTGGGACCAGAGAAAGTACTGAACAGAAGGATGGCTGCAGGCGATTCCTTTGTTGTGAGTCAGAGGGATGGTGAACATGAGGATAGAGTTGGGCTGGAAGATATGGAAAATGCTGAGAGTTTCCGACCAATCATGAAGAGAAGGGACTTGACTGATGAAGATTTGGTAATTTCACGAAGATTAGAAGAATCAGGAAGTGGCCTTGGGGGTATCTTATCTCGTGCTAGTGAGCCGTCCATAATCAAACCTGGAAAAGGAGATGATTGGTTTGTTATCAATCACTCGGGGAAACCAGAAAACCAGGATGCAGCCAATTACATGGTGTCACTAGAGGGTGATTCTTCAAACGCCAAGTCGAGTAGAAAAGATGTCCTTGTTGACGATTCTTTCATGGTTCATGCTCGATCAGCTGTGGATGATCTATATGAATCTCAGTGGAAAACTGACATAAGCATGGCTGCAGATCTAACTTTATCTTCCCAGCCAGAAAATGGCACCGCAGAACATAATCATGAAGTGCTGGATGCCTATGAACCGAATGACCTTTGTGTGGTCCTTGAACGGGATTCTGGATTTGAATCTACAAGGGAATCCTGGAGTACAGACCAGGGAATTGACATATCATTCATGGAAGCTCACAGGAGTTCAAATGTTGAATCTGGTGATCAAACTGATGAGAAGCTTCCTTCAAAGAGTGACAAGACCCTTCTCAAGAAAAATGGAATTAATGGGAGAAAAGTTCCAGAAGTGAGGTCTAAAATTGTGCAAGGATCCCTTGGTAGTAGCAGAACTGAGATGATATCCAAAAGCAAGAAATCATCACTTGTCAGTAGGTCCACAGTTCAGAAGAGCAAGCAAGAGAAGGTATTAATTAAGTTGCTTATTCAAGTTATTCTTTGTTATGTTTCACCAACTTTTCAACTTCTTACAAAACATACTTGTGAACAGGAAGAAGAGATTAGGAAGAAAATGGAAGAGTTAACGATTCAACGCCAAAAAAGAATTGCTGAAAGAACCGCAGCAGCTGGTGGTGCTCCGGCAGCAACCAAGAGAGCATCATTGGAGAGCAAAACAGTGAAAAGTTCAGCAAAGTCTGACAAGAATAAAATCATTCCTAGAACGGGGAGACAAACAAGATAAGTTACATTAAAATCAGGGCAGCTTAAGAAAGAAAGCTCAGAAATCGAATGGAGTTCTGCATGTGTAGATCCTCAGTTGCTGATATCAATGTTTTACTAGGTTCGTTTGGTTGAGTTGGATGGGACAGACGGTATGCTTCTATCTACAATAAATGATGCATACCATAAAGTGCTTCAATCTACTTCATCTGATACCCCGCCAAGTTGTCAAAATTTTCCTTTGGGAGCGAATATCTCTCCACACGTTGCTTATATAGTTATAAGATTCATATAATGAGTCATGATGTATAGTTTTCAAGTGCTATTCTTGACACTTCGCCTATTCAAATTCTTTCACATTATTGTGCATGAAAATAATCTCCAGCTTGTTTCTTGGACTTCACAAGTATGTAATTTGTTTCTTGCAATGTACAACTTCATTATTGGTAAATAGATTTTGAAGAGGTGATGATTCTTAAAGAGTATGATTATTGATATCATGGCTTCTAACCTATGCTGATCATGGCGATGGAGATGACCATGTGGACTTGGATTCAATAGCGAATTTTCACAAAACAAGTTTTCTAGTATTTGGGGGACTCTCAGATGCTTAAATTAGTTCACGGAAAAAGGTGTTTTAATAGGTCATTAAGAATTTCTCTTGTATGCAGGAGATAATTGATAATATAATTATTTTGATTTTGAGTTTAGAAAGTAAAATCTGTAACTTTTGTTTTATTTCTCTTTATATAGTAAAAATCGATGATCAATTTGTGTGAGGTGGCCTAGAATAACATTTTCTCGTGTTTAATAATCTCTGACATCCATTCGAGGAATATTTATTTTTTATGTTGATTTTTTCATCATTATCCGGTTAAGGCTAGAGAATTTTCATGGTGGTGGTCTATAGGATTGGTACTATTTAAGAAACATGTCTTTAATTAATAAATGTATTTTCTGTTTTTTAATTGATGGTGACTGATGGGGAAACAACCATCCCTATGTTCAAGAAATACATCTGGGTCTTCAGTCCTATCAAAGGATCCTTAGCTATTGGACCGGATATGACTATGGAGATTGGGCTTCATTGTCAAAGGAGCCCGTTGTTTTCTCGGGTATATCAGATTTCATGGTTGCTTCTGTAGCAATTCCAGTTCAGTAACACTTCTGTTTAATTCATTGCAAATCATATTTGGTTTCATTCAACCAAGTTCAAGGTTGCAGCATATGGGAGGACTAGAAACAGCAAGAAAAAGGGATGATCGAGAGGATTATATGAAATAATAACACATACTCGAGTTTACATTGAAAAGCTCATGTACAGTACCTTAGGTTTTTTTTTTTGAAAGATAAATAAAAGTCCATTTCATTTAAACCATAATAAATAACAATAATGATAAAATTTCTAACTTGATTCAGTATTTGAATTTTGGTACAATCCAAATTGGCGGCGGCATATGTTGATGAGAAGGATGGAGCTTATAATGTTTCCCAAAAGCTTTCTCTTTTAAGTTGAAGAAACCATTATCAGAAGGCCCTCCTCCACCATGAATGGCATAGGGTGTGACCACCATGTAGAAACCCACATAATCATCAGTAAAGTAAATGCAATCTGGATGGCATCCCATATAATCACTAGTGCAAACTGAAGTTGAATAATTATCTCCCAAGAAGAAGGCAACATTACCGAGAGTTGATGTCGTAAACCACTTGGACTTGTTTAGCTTAACTTGAAGTTTCAGTGCATGAAATCCTTCTATCATAAATACATCGTCCAGAAACCTGTAAACCATCACTAATTCTCCTCCTTTTGGTAATTCTACACGATAACTCTTTAAAACAACATCAGGTATACGATAGAAAATAGGTACAACTTTGTTTATTTTTGGAGGAAATTGGCTAACTTCTCAACTAATTAGCTTGACCCAGTGGTGCAAGGCATGAAATTTTCTTTGATAGTAAATAATATCCTCGAACATTTTTTAATGTGTGATTTATATAGATCCAATCCTTGTCACCCGATCTAATAAATGCCGATCCGTTCATAACACCGTCATAACACCGTAGATGACCATAATTGTATAACCATTTGGTGTTAGAATTTGAAAATTTTCTAGATACTTTAAGAATTCTTTTGTAATTCTTAGTTAGTAGAAGTTTAGTTAAAAGGAGTGAAGATCTTTATTTTGTGGGATTTTGTTTTGAAATAGCCGATGTATTAGTTGGGTTGGTATTGCACCAGTATTATATACGTACCAAAATGTCAAAGTTATGTGCAATACTTTATTTTGGCTTTTCATGTTCCGTTTTACGTTTCTTTCTCAAAAACTTCATTTTTCTTCTCATCTTACCTATGAACTAATATTATTTACATGATATCGAGCATATAAAGATCTTAAAGGTCCCGTGAGTGATTAAGAGAACACCAAGAAGGCTTCCTCTCCAAAAGACTCTAAAAACTCAAGCTTTAAACTCTCATGGCTTCCAAGCAACACATTACCTCTTTCACCCCTAGTTTTCAATGGTGAAAACAATCAAGTTTGGGTTATCAAGATGAGAGCTCACTTAAGAGGTCTTGGTTTGTAGTAGTGGGTTGAAACCGAAAAGCAAATACCTCATTTGGGAAACAATCCTACTCTTAATCAAATCGGGGCTCATGAAGAAGAAGAAGCCAAAGCTCCAAGAGCTTTATCTAACATTCATGCTTGCTGTGTTAGAATCAATTTTCACAAGGATTATGGCTTATGAAACACCAAAAGAGGCTTAGGACAAGCTCAAGGAGATGCATATGGGGAGTGATAGAACTAGGCAAATATAGATTTTGAATTTGAAGAGGGAATTTGAAGTCTTGAGGATGAAATATAATGAGTCTATTAAAGAAAACGTAGATAGTCTTATGGAAGTTGTCAATAAAATCGAGCTTCTTGGTGAGGATTTAACGGACCAAAGGGTTGTAGAGAAAGTTCTCGTAAGCTTGCTCGAAAGGTTTGAGTCTAAGATTTCTTCTCTTGAAGACTCAAAGGATTTAACCAAGATTTTCTTAGTTGAGCTTGTTTATGCTTTTCAAGCTCAAGAACAAAAGAGATCAATGAGAGAGAAAGATAGTAGTGAAAAGGCTTTCCTTGCAAAGCAAAAAGAAAAGTTCCTCAAAGGGGAGAAAAGAAGTAATTAGGTGAGAACAAAGATAAGGAGAAGAATAAGGGCTAAGGAAGTAGAAGTGGTGGCAAAAAAAGGTATCCACTATGTCCTCATTGCAAGAGGAAGAGTCATTTAGAGAATTATTATTGGTTTAAGCCGAGTGTGTAATGTAGATCATGCAAGCAATTTGGCCATGTGGAGAAGGTATGTAAGAATAAAAAAGATCAATAAGGACAATAAGCACAAATGGTTGAAAATCAACAACAACATGAGCAATTATTTATAGCTACGAGTCATACAATAAACAACTATACGTAAACTTGGCTTATTGAAAGTGATCGTACAAACCACATAAATCCTCAATTGAGTAATTTTAGGGAGTTCGATCAATCATACGAGTCAAAGTGAAGATTGAGAATAGAGACTTGGTTGATGTCAAAGGCAAGAGAGTTGTTGTTGTCGAGACTTCAACATGTATCAATTATATCTCAAATGTATTATTTGTACCTAAAAAACTAGCCAAATTCGTTAAGTATGGGTCAAATGCTAGAGAAGAATTATTCTCTCGCATTTCAAAATAAGTGCTACATCATTATTGATAATGCTGGTTGTGAGTTGATGAATGTAAAAATGAGAGACAAAAGCTTTCCAATTAAGTGGAAAGAGATTAATTTACATGCCTACACCGTTGTTATTGATGAGCTCGTGTTATGGCATAAAAGGTTTGGTCATTTTCATTATGCCGCACTTAAACACTTGTATCACAAAGGCTTAGCTCATGGCCTACCTGTCATTTGTGATGAAAAAAATGTATGTCAAGTATGTCAATTTAGGAAGCAAAATAGATTGCCATTTCTTGTTAACAAGGCATGTAAAACTTCGAAAAGTTACAATTGATCCATACCGATATGTGTGGACCAATGAAGACACTTTCACTAAATGGAAGCATGTACTTCATCTTGTTCATAAATGATTATACAAGGATGTGTTAGGTTTACGTTATGAAGCAAAAGTCGAAGTGGCTGATGTGTTTTAGAATTTTAAGACTTCGGTGGAAAATCAAGCAAATTGCAGCATGAAAGTGATAAGATCCGATAATGGAACCGAATATGCATCAACTAAATTTGACGAGTTTTGTGTTGAAGCTAGAATTGAACATCATCTTAATGTCACTTACTCCCCTCAACAAAATGGAGTGAGTGAGAGAAAGAATAGAACTATTATGGAGATGGCAAGATGTCTACTATTTGAGAAGAAGATGCCCAAATGTTTTTGGGCGAAGTCGTTAACATAGTTGTATATTTGTTAAATGGACTTCCAACCAAGGTTGTGAAAGATAAAACTCCATTTGAAGCTTAGTATAGAATTAAACCAATTGTGGAGCACCTTAAAGTGTTTGGGAGTTTATGTTATACTCATGTGCCGGATGTGAAAAGAGACAAGTCGGACTACAAAGCCGAGATAGGAATCTTCTATGGTTATAGCTCTACCTCTAAGTGCTATAGAGTTTTCAATTTGAAAACCGAAAAATTAACTATTAGTAAAGACATCAAATTTGATGAAGCAACGAGTATGGAATTAGGAGAAAAATGAAATAGAAGCCATAGATGTTGATCAAATTGGGGCAATTTTACCCAAAGTTCAAAAAGAAATAGAAGAAGAAATTGAGGCCGATAACTTTAATGATGTTCCAAGAAAAAGAACAAAGCCACTTGCTAAAAATCATAAGAGATGTGATGTAGCATTACATGAACCTACTTGTTATGATGAAGCTACTAAAGAAGATGGATGGAGAGTTGCAATGGAGGAGGAGCTAAAAATGATAAATAAAAATAAAGCTTAAGAGCTAGTAGAAAGGTCCAAAAATCAAAAGATAATTGGTGTTAAGTGGGTTTTCGAATCAAATATAATCCGGATGGTTCCGTAAACAAACTTGAGGCTTAATTTATTGTAAATGGGTATTTTCAAGAGCAGTGGTGTTGATTTTTCGGACACATTTGTTCCAATGGCTAGGTATGATACCATCGAGCTTCTAATGGCTTTAAGCAAGAAAGATGGGATGGAAAATTCATCATCTTGATGTGAAGTCATCTTTTCTAGATGGTGTGATTAAAGAAGATATTTATGTTCAACAACCAAAAGAATTTAAGGTTTCAGAGTTGCAAAGATAAAGTTTACAAGCTCCACAAAGCTCTCTATGGCTTAAAACAAGCACCAAAAGCTTGGTACAGTAGAATTGATGCTTATTTGCTACAATAAGGATTCAAAAGAAGTGAAAGTAAAGTTACTTTATATGTTTTGAAGGTTCAAGAAGAAATTCAACTTATTGTCTCTTTTTATGTAGATGACATGTTGGTTACAAGCTATAATTCGAAATCTGGAAGCAATTCGTGTCGCAGATGGAGAGTGATTTTGAAATGTCTAATTTGGGTGAGATCAAGTATTTTTTAGGCATGGAAATTCACCAAAGTGATACCGAAATCTTCATCTCACAACAAAAGTATGCTTTGGAAGTTTTGAGGAAGTTTCATATGAAAAGATCTAAACCAATGGCAACTTCATTAATTGTGAATGAGAAATTATCAAAGAATGATATTGCCAAGTAAAACAAATGCTTCGTTTACGTAGCTTCAATTGGTAGCTTGCTTGTACTTATCTACTACAATGCCAAATTTAATATTCTCTGCAAGCTCGCTATTTAGGTTTATGCACTCACTTAGTCAAATTCATCTTGGTGTAGTTAAGAGAGTTTTAAGGTACTTTTGATTATGGTTTGTGGTTTGTTAAGGAAGAAAGTAAAGAACTCCAAGGATATACGGATAGTGACTAGGTCGGAAGTATAGATGATTCTAAGAGCACTTATGGTTATGCTTTCTCATTTGGAAGTGAAGTATTTTCATGAAATTCAAGAAAGCAAGAGGTGGTGGCTTAATCCTTAGCAAAAGCCGAGTATATTTCGCAATAACATACCGCAAACTAAGCAATTTGGTTAAGAAAGTTGTCGATGATTTGGGGCAAAGCCCAAATTATGCTACTATAATTTATGTTGATAACAAGTCAACCATAGCTATTGTAAAGAATCTCGTGCAACATGGAAGAACCAAACATGTAAATATGATGTTTCATGCAATTAGAGAAGCAGAGAAGAATGGTGAAGTCAATCTAGTTCATTGTTGCTCGGAAAATCAAATTGTCGACATACTAACTAAAGCACTTTCCAAAACCAAGTTTGAAGAGCTAAGGTCAAGGCTTAGAGTCTCTAAGAAAATTCTCAAGGAGGAGTGTTAGAACTTGAGAATTTTCTAGATACTTTAAGAATTCTTTTATAATCATCAGTTAGTAGAAGTTTAGTTAAAAGGAGTGAAGATCCTTATTTTATAGGATTTTGTTTTGAAATAGCTGATGTATTAGTTGGGTTGGTATTGCAATAGTATTATATATATATATACACACACACACACCAGAATATCAAAGTTACTTGCAATAATCTGCTTTGGCTTTTCATGTTCTGTTTTACTTTTCTTTCTCCAAAACTTCATTTTTCTTCTCATCTTAACTATGAACTGATATTGTTTACATTTGGATGTAAATCAGGATCCATGGAGAAAACAGCTTTATGGATGTCAGATTCAAAGTTATTTTGAAGAACTTCCTCTTCCACGTCTAGGTTTTCTAATTCATATAATTCATAGTCAATGCTGATGTCGTCGTTGTCTTCGTCATAATTACCATCCAGCTTGATGTCACCATCAATATTATCTTCCTGTACGTTGCCACCATTATCATCATCTTGTTGATGATTGTTAACATTAGGGCCATAATCATCTTCATCGATCTTCTTCATCGTTAATGTCATGGTCATTAAAGAGATAATGACGTTCATGCTGGATTTGTTCTTTCTATGTGCCATAGATATCTATAATAGGAGGGAGGTGGATATTTCCTTACTGAGTAAAGAAATCCTGTTTTGTTCTTGTTTCTTGCAATTTTCATCTCTCGTTCTCTCGTTGATAGAGTATATGACAAAATACTACTTATCATCAAAACTAATGTATTTTTAAAAAAATATGCACAAAAAATAATAGTATAATTAACATAATAATTAATAATTTTGTGAAAAAAAAACGATTTCTTTGAAACGGACTGAGTAGTTCAAATAATACTATTATCTTTGACTCCTCTCCATTAATTTCACTATACACACACGCACCAAATAATAAAGTATTTACAAATACTTTTAGAATCTCAAAACTAGTTCACGGTTTTGAATTGATCTTCTCATAGACTTCACTAATATCAGTTATTTCTTTCCTAGAGTTTTGGCGATTTTCATTTTAATTATGTTGAATCATGAGTAATGATAGACTAAAATAACTGTATTTTTATCTAAACCAATTATGTAATTGTTACATCTAATCTGTCGGGATGTTATCTATATTGCAATAGATGTACGTGTACAAGGATCAATTTATCAAATGATTAACATCATTTTTAATTTAGAAATCTAAATTATTGGATTATGAATTCATTTTATTGTTTTTATTTGTTGTATATAAAAGACGTTCGAACTTGAAACATTTAAAAAAAAGAATGGTTATTAATGTAAGTTTAACTATAGTTCATTGACTATGAATTCATCTTTATATAAAAAATAACCATAAAAAATTTGTTCGGTTTAGTTCTTTTTTCTTCTTAATTTAAAATTTTTCTTAATACGCGGATTGATATAAGAGATGTATTTTTAAAATTTTTTTTATAAAAAAAAAATCTAGAATGACGTATAAATTGATTTGAAAATACTTAAAAAAATTGGTTCATGTATAACCAACTTATTGTTTCCACTTGCAGCTAAAGTGGGATATTTCGATTACATGTGCACCTAACTTAATGGTTTATATATAATTTTCAATTTACTTCTCCGGGCCGATGCCTCAGTCTCTTTCTAATTTCCAACTTCAGATGCTACTTTTGTCAATTTAGTTTAGAAGTGCCAATGCCCTTGCTCTTGTGCTTTGATGCTAGTTGCTAGCTATAGGTCCAAACTAGCGAACTCTATAGGTGATATAAGGTAAAATGTAAGAACCTCCATGGTCATAAAGTTGGATGGCATAATTTTATGTACTTTTTTCATCAAATAAATAAGTTTTAGAATTTGCTCATCTTTGTTTTTAGACTTGAAATTTCATAATTAAAAACTTCATATTCAAAACCTTTAATTGCCTAAACAGGTAATCTCAGCTTTATCGAATTATTATATATGTAAAAATATTTTTAGGTAAATATATCTATTTTATGTGACCAACCGAAGGACTAATTTAGATATTTGAGTTTGGAATACCTTAAGGGTGGTAAAAAAAAAAAAAAACAAACAAATATAGAGGTGGACTTAATTAGGAAATGAATAAAAATGGTTCGAAATATGGGGAAAAGAAAAGTAAAAAATGTACATGCATGCCTATGTAATGCTCTATGATTTATTATTTTATACCTACTATTTAGTAAATAGAAATTTTAGAATGTTCCAAGAAATAGAAAGTGGATAAATTAGATTTTTTTGCCCACTCTATTTTCAGTAAACAATATTAGAACAATTCGGAGTTTCAAGGGAAAACTCAAGTAAAATTCCCCCAAAAAAAAAAAAAAAATCAACATAAATAACAAACTTAGTCTTGATTCTACAATCTTAGTTGGCAAAATCCAAAATTAGCCGGATCATAGTTAGCTTTAATAACAAACAACCATAATCCTTAAAACTGATGAGACAGTGACCTAAAAGAGTGCCACATAGAATTTAGGAGGGGAAGGATCGCTAACAATATAAAGGCCAGCTACTCATCCATTTCTTCGTGGCTTTCTCTTTGAGAAAAGTTCCAGAGAAATCTTTTTTCTTTTTCTTTTTTTTTCCCATTGGGAAACCTTATGGGCTGCACGTTATTGTTTTATGTTTGAACTCCCTTTGTACTTTGAATATTTCTGCTGTTTTCACAACAGAAATATAAAATATTTCCTTTGTCAATTTGTTGTTTAAACAAATATTTATGCTTTACCATCAGTATTATCATTCTTGATACGTTTCTTTATATTAATTCTAGTTCTGGCTTGAAAGTTATGTCAACCGGCATCTTCTGTGGTTTAAAGCCCTTGATTTTTGGAGGCAAGACTTCTAGATTTGAGGTACATAAATTTTCCTGTTTTTCTTTTTTATGTCTTTCACTTGCTATGATTTGTATTGTAGAGAAAATATTGTTCCAAATTGAGAGGATGTCTTGGGCACAACATCGTACCACGAGGTTCTCTGCTAATTTTATGCTCATCTTGTGTCAACTTATATTCTGCATAGTAATATGTTTTCAGGCCAGGGAGATTTATGTTTCTCTGACAGCCATTTCATGGCACTTCCCTGCTCCTTGATCAAGTCCTAGACTTCGTAATGTTTCCTTTCGTTTCTTTTTCTTCAAATTCATCCGAATTTCCCGCTACATATTTCTGAAACTGCTTGATCAGAAGATGTTCCTAAGATTAAACAAGCCGAACTTCAGTAAGATATAAAACAAATACTGGATTTCTTTTTCCATTTCATAAGAAAAAAGCTTGAACTGTGGAATTCTTAATGTTTTTTGCTCATGTCAACTTGAATTTAATGAATTCTCATGTGATAGGAAAGGCTTCAAGATAATGCATTTATATGGTAGGAACATCTGGTAACAGCATTGGCTTAGCAATTTTGACAGAAACAAGAGCACTGTTGCAGGTAGTGAAAAGCACTCACCTAGTCAAGGGTAAGAAGAAGGAATCAGAAGAACCGAAGAAGGAACGCTCACGTTCACGTGGATCTTCAGGAAACTTCATTTTGATGATGGAGCTTAGGAAGAAAATCATTACCTTCAGAGACATCATTGACCTACCACCTTTCGATGGTTCTCTGAGCATAAACGAGGTATCGTTGAGGACACAGCATCATCTGTTGAATGCAGTTAGATTATGAGAAACATGCCTTGACTCTCAAAACAAATTTGTTTGTTGCAGCTGGTGATGGGGACAATGAGAGATCTGCACAAATTTTACCCTGAAATCATACCCAGTAGTCAACTGTCAGAAATTAAGGGATCATCTATCGATAAGGTTTTACTATTTAGTTCCATCATGGCTACGCCTACGCAGTTGTTGGATGCGATTCTTTTAAGATTTCGAAGCTGATCATCTAAATGCATGCTCAAACAGGTTCTGATCTATTTTTGCGAGAATTTGAGATCAATCGGGGATTCATGGATGATGAATCAAGATTGGATGAACAAAGCTACATACAACATGTACACTAACAATGACCAAAGGATCAATTCAGAACAAATAGGTATGTCATACAGCTCTTCCAGAATGTCAGCAGTATACTTTTATCCTCGTTTTCGGATCTTGTAAGAAAAAAATGGAACAATTTGAAAGAAAGAATTTTGGAAAGAGTGCATTGTGAAGAGCTTGATCATTTCCATTTAATTTCTCCCTGTACAACTTGTCTGAAGTGTCATGATTGAAGGTGATGACTTCGTTCAATTTTTTCCTGAAATTTCAGTTGAAATTGCTTTGGCAACACTCACCTGCCTGATTAAGATAGCAAGAGAAATGTTTGATGTGATGGATGAATATGAGCCAAATAAAGATAGTCCACGATCCAATGCATTCAGCAAAATCTTGACGGGGTCCTACTCAGACAACATTAGCTATAGCCCATGTGGTGCTTCTCCAAAGACTCCAACATCAGTTCTTCCCCAGTTTATGGGTTCTCCTTCTTCTGGAGAATTTACAAATTTTTATTGCTCTTCTCTTCTCCGATCTCTGAGAGTTCAGTCACTTGGAAAATTGAACCCCATTGACATAAAACGTCTCTCATTCCACATGTCTTCAAACCTGGAAACTCAAGACGGCAGCAGTTTGAACCGAAAGGACAAAGTGGATGATGAAACAATGACAGAAGTGGAAATAAAGGGCAAACCTAGGTTCGAAAGGAGCCATTCAGAAGCAAGCAGCAATTGCGAGGAACTGATGTTTGAAATGGATGCAAGCAGCAATTGTGAAGTGAAAAAAGCTGCTAACATTGAGGATCCCAGAGATTACAGCCTCAAAATTGGAATGCCACAGGTTGCAGCAGCTGAGACCATTCCAGTGATCACAACTGAAGCCACGGAATTGTTAACGCCACCAGCAGCATTGTCAGCCAATGCATCACCAGTTCCACCAGCACAGCCACCCATGTCCACACCGATGAGGGTAGACGTTGTGGCAACACCATCACTACCTTCTACTCCACCATTGAAGCTGCAACCAGACGTAGCAAACCCACAGCCTCCACCTCCACTACCACCATTCGGGCGTCAGCCAACAACTGTTACAGTGGCAAGCATACCGCTTCCACCACCGCCACCACCTACTATGTCAAGAACTGTAACAGCAGCACCACCTCCACCTCCACCACCAACATCTACGGCATGTGGAACTGCAACAGCAGCACCCCCGCCGCCACCTATGTTATTAGGAACTGGAACAGCAGCTCTAATGCCACCACCACCACCACCACCTCCTCCTCAAACATCAACTGCAAGAACAGGACCACCTCCTCCTCCACCACCCATGATGTCTTCAAAAGGATCCATGCCATTGCCACCACCACCACCAATGCCGCTCGGCAATGGAGCTGCTCCACCACCTCCTCCACCACCCATGATGTCTTCAAAAGGATCCATGCCATTGCCACCACCACCACCTATGCCGCTCGGCAATGGAGCTGCTCCACCACCTCCTCCACCTGGTGCAGCAAGATCCTTACGCCCCAAGAAAGCACCGACTAAATTGAAGAGATCAAGTCAGATGGGTGCTTTGTATCGGGTTCTTAAGGGGAAGTTGGAAGGAGGAAATCAACTTACTAAATCACCTAGTGGAAGAAAGGGTCCAGCTTCGAGCAGTGCTGGTGGAAAGCAGGGAATGGCTGATGCACTGGCAGAGATTACAAAGAGGTAACCTTTTCAAAGAACTCTTAACATTTAGAAACAATCTGTTTGGTTGAACTTTATTTGCAGGGCATGGAAAAAGTCATAAATGAGAACCAAATGCATTTCTTTCCTTGTGTCTCAGATCGTCATACTTCCAACAAATTGAAGAAGATGCTCAAAAGTATGCGAAGGCAATCACAGAGCTGAAGGCTGCCATCAGTACTTTCAAAACAAAGGACATGACAGAGTTGATCAAGTTCCACAAGCATGTTGAATCCATTCTTGAGAAATTAACTGATGAAACGCAGGTTCATATAACAGAATCAGTTTGTTAGTTTCACTATTTTTCCATGTCCACACGTCCTGCATGTTCTATTTCTATATCGTCATGACCTGTATATCTTTGCATTGCAGGTGCTTGCAAGGTTTGAAGCTTTCCCTCAAAAGAAGCTGGAAGCATTAAGGACTGCAGCTGCCCTAGGCTCAAAGTTGAATGGAGTAATCTCTGAACTGCAAAATTGGAAGGTAGAGCCTCCATTAGGCCAGCTTCTTGACAAGGCCGAGCGTTACTTCAACAAGGTAACTTTGCATAGTCCTGAAACCTCATTGTAAGACTATCTTCATTATTGCAAAATTTTGGGAAGCAGCTAAAAGAATTAATAACATACAGATCAAAGGAGACCTTGACACCTTGGAGAGGACCAAAGATGAAGAATCCAAGAAATTTCAAAGTCACAACATTGATTTCGACTTCCATATCCTTGTACAAATCAAGGAATCAATGGTGGATGTTTCTTCAAACTGTATGGAATTGGCACTCAAGGTAGATTCACTCATAAATTAACATTTTGTTGCAAACTAGATGCTCAATTCAAACAACCTGAGGATCATTTCAACGGGTGATTTCACTTTGAAAGGATTGACATTCCATTTTATTCTGCTTTTGAATATATCCAGGAGAGGAGGCTAGCAAAAGCAGTAGAGACAGCAGTAACTGGAACCAAAACTGAACCTAAAAAGGCTAGTGCTAAAATGCTTTGGAGGTCTTTCCAGTTTGCGTACCGGGTTTATAGCTTTGCTGGTGGACACGATGATCGTGCTGACAGGCTGACAAGAGAATTGGCCCATGAAATAGAGACTGATCCTCATCATCAATGAATGATTAAAAATCATGGAAAGAGGAAAAAAACAAAGAAAAACCCCACTACAGTTTATATATATATGCTTATATTCTATACTGCAAAATAAGAGAAAAATCTGATGGCGATGGAACATCTTTAGTTACAGCTTTTGTTAATTATTTTGATGAACTAGGACTTAGCACTGCCTCAAGTTTCTATGATATGAGATTCTCTAAGAAACATTGAGCCACACAACTCTAGCTATTCTACTCCCTTTCGTAATATGTAATTTTGGAGTTACATATATAATTTTTTTTCGTTGGTTTTTTCAAATAAATCAATTGATGGTTGAGGGATTTGGACCTAGAACCTCATTTTTGGAAAACAAGTGGCTACCAGTTATGCTATGCCTCGGTCATGTAGTTGATTATTAATTCTGTGAAGTTTTTGCATGCACACTGACTTCCGTTTTCATACAAGAGATATAAGAGACACCTTCTCAAATATCAGTCTTTTTGTCTTATATTTAAACTTGCAAATTTAAAGCATAATATCGAAGATTTTCTTGTCAAAGCATATAGTTTGATTCTGCATGGTCAGCAGTCATCACCTATGGTATCTGCAGTTTCTGATCTTCGTTAAATCGGAGGCAGGAGCATGATACATACAGACACCTCTGCACGTCTGTGTTGTTAAAAAACGAGAAACATGAATTTGTGACTTTGTCTTTGTCCCTGAACATCACTTAGGTGTAGTAGGATTTGTCGTTTATCAAATTTGTTGCAAATGTTCCATCTAGTGATCAGCAATTGTCTGGCATTTAAATTAATGTTTAAAAAAGGCTGATTATCTTCGATTTTACATGTAAAATGTACAGAAACATGAAGGCCTCATCTTTATAGTCCATAAACAACGTTCATCAAAAGCCCAATTTTAATAAATAAAAGCCCAAACGGGGCAAGAAGAAGATTTTAGTTAACTGTAAGCCCAATGAATAGATTAAAGACAAAAACAAAGGAACGTGAATAGATTTTGGTTATACTGTATCCAGAAAATTCAGAACGGTGACAGACAGAGGCTCCCTTCCACGATGTTTATTATTATTATTATTATTATTATTAATTGAATTTGATTTTCAAAATAAATCATAAAACAAGAAAAAATATAAATCACTACCATGGCATCTAACTAGAAACAACAAACGACAACGAATCTCACCATCATACCTAGCACTATTCACCTTCGTTATAATTCAAATTATCAAATTTCAATAATCAAAACTGGAGTCTATTCATACACAATCACATGATTTGTTATATCAAAATAGCCATTACTATCAAAAATCAATTTGGAAACCAAAACTCAACTATAAAAAACCTATAATCTATAGTTATGTGGTTTCATCTTTTAAGTTTGTAGTGCCGGTGCTTGCAAATCAGTATATAAAATGTTTATAATATGCACTAAAAAATAGAATTTACGAAAGAGAACATAAAATATATATATATATAAAGGAAGAAGAAAGAATGAACAAATGAGAATTTATTGTACTAAAAGTTTATGATGGTGTCGGTTTTTAATTATGAAGTGTATTGTACTCAAATTTATTTTGGGCTTGACAACCCAATAACTTGGTTAAAGCCCAAAGAAAGTTTGAGTATAAGCTCGTTAAGATAAGATATACTAAAATCTAGAATGACCCATGGATGGAATGGGCCAATAAAAACCCAAACATATTCTAATTTTAGAATAAAAAAATACATCATGGGTAAAAGACCTACAAGCTAGAAGTCTTTTATAAAAGATCAATGATAAAAGAACGAGAAGTATTACAAACATGGGTATTGTAGTTCATGAACGTGGTCATTACAGAAGATAGTTTTCTGGCCGGAAGGGCTATAAATTCAAATTACAATTAAGAGGAAAGACACGGAAAAACCCAATAACAATTCTCCTGCAATATCAATAGCTCCAGCGATTGCAGCACCCAAACACCATAGCCTTTAGACAATAATTAGTGGGTTCTACCCAAGTAAGCTGATACCGTCACTGATTCGTTCGTCACTGCTACATTTGCATAGCCTACTGTTTTTTATAACTAATTATTTTTGTTTCTCAGTACTAATGTCTGTAAGTTTCTATGTTTCTGTCTGTAAGAAAACTTTGATTCAATTTACATCAATCCCAAAGCATGTTTTATTGTTTAGTTTATATTCTACAAGGGAAGCATGTTATTTTAAATTAATTTGTGTTAGAAGATAATCTATAGTAATAATCCTGCTTTTTATTTTTATTCATATCATTATGTTATTGTTTATTTTTATACAGTAACAATAGTTTCACAATTTCAATCCAGAAGATAGATTATAATTTTGATTGTCTTGCAACCACTTGTAGTACTTTTTATTTTATTTACCTTAAAGTCCTCTTAATTGAGGCACGCACGAAAACAATCCACGACAAAGTGGTATTTTAAATTTCTCATTTTTCAAATTTCATGAATGATGGGTTGTGAACACTAAAAATATGTGAATAGTGGGCTCTCCGCTATCAATTTCATGTTAAATATCCCTCTTGGAACTTTTGGACAGATATGAGGGTATCATCGGGAAAAACTCAAATAATAGGGCTGAAATGGAAAATTTTGAAACACTAAGGGTAAAAATATAGCTTGGCCTTACCTATCCTGGCCCTAAAATCCATAACCAATCCCTACGACCCGGCTTGGGCTTGATGTATGGGTGTTGGGCCTCGGCCTAAAATGAAGAGGCGGACCTTGATACGAATAGGCGTTGTTTTCAATGTTCCTTCCTTATTCTCGGATTTGATGCGGTCAAATCATAGCTGAAGCTCTTGTCGGAAAATATCAATGTCACTTTCATATTAATTCATGAGGCTGAAGTTGAACCGCCTCTAAAAACTCTCATATTAATTTTTAATAGAGGATATCTAAAATATTGACAAACAAGATGAAAAGATTTGAAGTCATAAAAAGGCTCCCACGGAGTTGCAGTGGAGATTTGCACCGAAAGAAAAGAGAAAAATTGCGATGAAGGGTATCATTTCTCTTCCTTGAACTTTTTTAATCTTGAGGACGACATTCTTTTGCTTAATTAACGTAAGATTAGTATGAAATTAAAATACAATATATATTGATTAGGAGCACAAGGAACGACATATCTCTTAGTCAAGAAGCCAAAAAAGAAACAAAAATACATAAACAAATTTACACAAAACGGACTCTGAATCTTGATGATGATATATTTTGATCAATCTTTTATGTACTCAATCTTGACACCACCAATACTAATAGGGTTCTTAGCAGACCTAGGCACCAAAGTCACAACCAAACTCTCATCACCTTCAGCTTCCAAATCGTCCAACAGTTCATTGATCGCCAGTGTCAAACAAGCTGTCCTTTTGGTCCTAATTCTATGAGGCACGTTCACAAAGCTCCCAGCAAACTCACTCTTGTCCGGTCCTCTAAGTGATTGATCTCCATCATCATTAACATACACGTCAAACTTCACGAATTCACCTCTCTCAAAATCAATCCCTTCTATCACTAAAACTTCCTCTTCATCTTCTTTCTCCTTTTTACTTCTTGATTTCTTTGGCCTTGAAACCTCAGTACTTACCACTTTATCTAAATCTAAAGGGAATGCACTGATTGGCATCAATACCATATTCTTTGCTTCAGCTGCTTGTGCTACCTTGCCCTGGCCAAAATCCGTTATCCCTCTCTTGGTTTTGTCTACAGCATAACAAAGACCTCCTAAACCAAGGAGGACAGCTCTTCTAGTGGTAGGGTTTTGGGGACCATGATCATTTGTAGTTTTGCATGAAACAGGAGTAGGGATTGAATGCTTGGATCTTTTTGGTGAAGAGATCCTGAAGGTGGTTGGAGTGAATGTTAAAGGAGAGATATAAGCCATGGGTTCCTAATGCTCCGTGGTTTATTATTTATTCAAGATAAAGAGGATGATAAGCCAGCAAGCTAATTGCAGTCGCTAGATCTATGATTAATTGTGTAGAGATGCGTCAGCAATGACGTTTGAGGTGCCGACGTGCCGCGCTTGCATCCGCTATGAATAGATGAGATAAAGAAGGAAGTCATGTCTGAATTCCATTTCCATAATTTTCCATGACATTGACATATGGCGTAAACTTGGCGTTTTGGTTTAACTAAATGACTTTCAACCTTGAGTGACATATATAGGTTTGAATTTTTGCCAAAAAAAATAAAAGATTTCGATTTAAATTTTCTGAAGTTCAAAAGGAGTCAATTATACCTTATCTCCTGTAATTTAATGAAATTGATTAATTTAGTCTATGGTTTAAAAAAATTATATATATTCTATTCTTCTCTTTTCTAAATTTGTTTATGAATTAATCCCCTTTCATATATATATATATATATATATATATATCAAGAGAAGCAGGGTAAAATGGAAAATTTTGAAAAAACAAACATTAACCTGCATGTGAGAAAAAAGGATTGGTGTTTAACAAATTAATCTTTTTCGATGATGCATGGTTGGAGGGACTACATTACAAATTAATATAATACATAGAGTAAATTAAATTAATTGCAAGTGCCAATAACTATAATATTATTGGGAAGCACAAACAATATGCATGGGATAAATAAATTTAATCATCTTTGCGCTTAATATTCTTATAATGGATACGTATCACTTGTTAATTTGTTTTATTTTATTTTTTTTGATAACTTGACTCACTACTAGAAAAATTGGTTTCAGCGATGGCTTCCAAAATCATCGCTAAAACCATTAAATAACGATGATTTTCATAAATCCATTGCTAATACCTATTTAAAAATAACTTTTAATAACAATTTAAAAATAGTTGCTAATTGAGTCATGTATGACTGTTTTTAGCGATGATTGTGCATAAATCGTCTCTAAATTAGGTAAAGATTTTGGAATTAAGAAGTGTTTAGTTAAATTGTCGCTAATTCTTAAAAAATATATATATTTTAGCGATGTTTTTACGCAAACTGGCGCTACCTTAATTATGAGAAGATTTAGCGACGATTACTAAAAATCGTCGCTAAATCTAAATGTTTTCTAAATCGGTGGAAGACATGGTTTTGGCAACTCGTTTTTATCACAAAAGTTGTCATTAAATAATCAAATTAGCAATGGTGTGTGCAAACCGTCGTTAATTTCCGATCGTTAGAGAGAAAATAGTCATTTTGAATCTTTTAAGTTTATTAGCGGCGGTTAACTCGTTGTTAAAAATTTAATCCCTAAAAGTTATTGCCTCAAAAAATTTTCTTCCAAATTCTTCTTTCTTTCTTCTTTTTCTTCTTCTAGCGGTTGCACCTCCATCATTTTCTTCCCCATTTCTCCTCTAATCTCGGTTGCAACTCCCTCCAAATCTCCTCCTTTCTCTTCTTTTCTTCTTGCCCTCCATCTCTTCCCCTTTCCTCCTCCTTTTTTTTTTCCTTCTTTCTCTCCTTGCCTCATCCTTTTCCTTTCTCTCCTTCCCTCTTCATATCTAGTCATGGCGGTAGCTATAGTAGCTCTCCACCTCCTCATCGTGAATTGGCGGCAACTCCTCGCCTCCTTCTTTACTCCTCTAACTAATTAAGTTTTTTATTCCAATTTTTTCAATAATTTTATATTTATTGTTTAATTAATTATTTGTTAATTGTTAGTTAGTTTAATTTAGTTTGTTTTTATAGTTAATTTGTTAGTTGTTAATTAAAATAATTTTGTGTTAAAAAAATTATTTAAGTGTTAGTTTATTTAATTATATTATTTAATTAATTATTTATTAATTGTTAGTTAGTTTAATGAATTTAGTTTTTTTAATATAGTTAATATGTTAGTTGTTGATTAAATTAAGTATATTTTTATTTTAATTAACTATTTATTAATCGTTACTTAGTTTAATTTAGTTTGTCAATATATTTATTTGGTTTGTTGTTAATTAAATTAATTAGTTTTTTTAAAAATTTAATTAAGTGTTAGTTTATTTAATAATGTGTTAATTGGTATTGTTAAAGTTGTTAATTATTTTAAGTTTGTTTGTTGGTAATTAAGTCTTTTAATTGTTTCAAAATTTAATAGGTGTTAGTTTAAAATTTATTTGTTAATTAAGTGATTTAGTAGTTAATTATATTAACTTTATTTGTGGTAAATAATATTATTTAATTCTTTTTAAAAATTTAATATTTTGTTACTTTAATTAAATAGGGGTGTTAATTAAGTTATGTATATGTTAAATTCATTAAATTAATTGTTAAAACAATTATTTAAAAATTGTTTACAAATATTGAGTTTGTTTTATTTTAATTAATTTGGTAGTTAATTAAGTTTTTGAGTTTTTAAAACAATTTAATTAGTTGTTAGTTGAATAAGTTATATTTTGTTAAAAAAACATATTTAATTACGTGCTAGTTTAAATAATTTATTAGTTAATTAATTTTTTTATTTATTAAAATAAATAAATTAGTCATTTATTAAATAAATTAAATTTATTTTAAAAATAAAATTAACGTGTTAGTTTAATTAACTTAGTATTTAATTAAGCGTTTAATTTGTTAAAAGAAAAAATTAATTGTTAATTAAATTAATTAAATTGAATTTAAAATCTTAAATTATGTGTTAGTTTAATTAATTTAGTAGTTAATTATGTGTTTAATTTATTAAAATAAAAAAATTAGTTGTTAATTAAATTAATTGAATTTAGTTTAAAATCTACAATTACGTGTTAGTTAAATTAATTTAGTAGTTAATTAAGTTTTTTTTTGTTAAAATAAGTTAATTATTTGTTAATTAATTTAATTACATTTATTACAAAATTAAAAAATACATGTTAGTATAATTAATTTAGTAGTTAATTAATTTTTTTATTTGTTGAAATAATTTAATTAGTTATTAATTTAATTAATTACATTTAGTATAAAATTAACAATTATAGTTTAGTTTAATTAATTAAGTTGTTAAGTAAGTTCTTTATTTTTTAAATTAAGTAAATTAGATGTTTATTAAATTAATTAAATTTAGTTTAAAATTAATAGATATGTGTTAGTATAATTAATCTAGTATTTAATTAAGTTTTTCTCTTGCTAAAATATGTTAATTAGTTATTAATTAAATTAAATAAATTTAGTATAAAATTAAAAATTATTTTTTATTTTAATTAATTAAGTTGTTAAGTAAGTTTTTTACTTGTTAAATTAAGTAAATTAGGTGTTTATTATATTAATTACATTTAGTATAAAATTAACAATTACATTTTAGTTTAATTAATTATGTTGTTAATTAACTTTTTCATTTGCTAAATTAAGTAATTAAATTAGCTATTTATTATATTAATTAAGTTTAGTTTAAAATGAATTTGGATCGTTCATGGATTAACTATAGATTAGTCGTTGGTCTTTTATATCAACGTTTCATAGATGAGATTAATGAATTTATTAATCTTGTTGTTAGTTATCCGAAGTGTGTGGAAGAAAATAAGATAAGATGCCATTGTAAACTTAAGAAGTATCGAACCATAGTTATGAATATCTTCATATCGTTAAGCAACATTTGATGAGATATGGTTTTGTGTGCGAGTATTATGTGTGAACATGTCATGGAGAAAAATGAGGTAGTCATTTATGGTGACAACTTAGGAAATTTTGTTCAACCGTAATAAATATTTGATGAAACTCCAACCAATCCATATCACATAATGATGATAGATGCGGTTGGTCAATCATTTAATCCATCTAACAACGATGAAGTCCCAAATCCGGATCCACATGCATTTTATAAGTTGTTGAATGCACATAATAGAGAGATGTGACTCGGTACGGAAAATCACTCACGAGTTATTTGTAATGGCATGTTTGTTACACATCAAGTTTAAACATCATTTTTCGAAGAGGTGTTACAATAACTTATGTTAACTTATGAAAGAGTTTATGCCTATTGATAATCGCATGTCGGAAGACTTTTACAATACAAAAAAATTAGTGAAACTTATGGTTTACCTATTTAAAGGATCAACAACTCGTATAAATGATTACATAATTTATTAGGGTGAAACAACAAGAGAATTACTTGTAAAATCTATTACCATCATTGATATCGAAATCCGAAATGGGGATCGATTAGAGAAACATATGTCTCATAAAAAAATATTTTATTTTTTTTAATCCCGATTACGAGAGGATGTATGCATTAACCGTTACAGTTGGTGACATGACGTGGCCTATTGAAGGTAAAATTAAGGTAGATGTCATGCATCATTGCTTTGACTCTTTTGCATTGAGGCATTTGAAGGATCATATATATAGGGAGAGGATTCCTTGTCCTCCAAGGATAAGGAAAGGTGGCAATGGGTCCTCTAAGGACTCTAGATTATTGTTTCCTAATTCTCTAAGAATTAGAAATTATTTAGTATGTGGGCTTTTGATCTTTATCTTAAAAAATTCATCCTTATCTAATAATGTTTATGTTCATCCTCTCACCAAAATATTTTTTAGGCTTTTAATTAAACTTATTATATCAAAATCATTTTGACTCAATTAATTAATTTATACTATCTAAATAAATTAAGTTAGATAATTTTTGGAGGCCCACATTAGGAAATAATTTTTCAAATTATCCTTAAATCTAAATTAGAAAACTAATTTTCATTTTAAGTTATTTACTTCCAAATTTGGAACTAACTTTCAAATTAAAAAACTAATTTCTAAAATAGGAAACTTTCCCTTTTAGGAAAATTTTCATTTTGTTTTGGAAACCTTTTCTAAAATAGGAAACTTTCATGATTGGAAACTTTTTTCAACATCTTTGTTTCTCTTTAATCATGTGAATACTTAAACTTATGTGTATGATTTAATAGACTCCTAGATATATTAGCAATGTATCAACAAAAAAAACACATCTTTTATCTCTTGATAAATAAGTCA